TTCTTTGTGAAGGAGGAAAATTTGAGTGGAGAAAAGATGTTAATCCTTCCTAAATTAATCTATAAACTCATTGCCATCCCAATCAAATCTCCATAGGAAGTTTTCATAAAACCTGACAAACTAATTTGAACATCCATCCACATGAAAGAGAATATGTATAAGAAGAGTTAAAACAATTGGCGGGGGAGGACAATGAAGGATGATTTATTATACAAGGTACTGGAAATATCATAATTAATAGGGTGTGGTACTGGCACAGAAATAGACAAGTAAAGAGACTGAAAGAGAACAGAGAGCCCCCAAATCAGCTCATGTAAAGACATTAAATAAATAACTGGCAAGCCAGCAGTGAAAATATGGGCTATTCAATAAACAGTGTTGGAAAAATTGGCTTTCCATTTGGAAATAACTAAATTAGATCCCTGCCTTATACTACACACACACGTGCACACACAGAAAATCAGCAAGGATATAGAAGAATTCAACAATACCTTCAACCAACAGGATTGAATTTGACATTTATAGAACACTCCATCCAACAATAGAAGAATAAGCATTCTTTTCAAGCATCCATGGAACACAGACTATGTTAGACCATATCCTGTGCCATAAACGAACATCAACAAATTAAAAACAATTGAAATAAAGTTCACTATATTCTGTGGCCACAATAAAATCAAACTAGAAATCAATATTAACAGAAAGATAAGAGGAAAATATCTAAACACTTGAAAACTAAACGGCATACTTCTAAAAAATCCATGGGTCAAAGATGAAATCTCAAGAGAAATTTTAAAGATACATTGAACTGAATGAAAATGAAAATACTACATAGCTAAATGTGTGGGATGCAACTAAAGCAAACAAATTCGTAGGAAGCAATTTTAAAGGGAAACGTATAGCATAAAATGCTTATACTAGAAAAAAAGGTCTTCGATTGGTAATTTAAGAAACTAGGAAAATAAGAATAAAGCTAAAATAAAATAAATTATAAATAAAGCCAAAGCAAACAAGAAAAGAAATTAAAATAAGAGCAGAAATCAATAACATTGAAAACAGGAAAACAATTAGAGAAAATCAATGAAACAAAGAGCTGATTCTTTGAAAAGATTAGTAAAATTGACAAACTCTAGTAAGACAAAGAAAAAAATACAAATTACTAATATCAGGAAAAAAATGAATATCACTATAGACACTTCAGACATCAAAAGGATAATAAAGGACTACTAAGAACAACTCTACATGCTTTGAGAATTTTGATGGAACTAACCAATAGTTTGACAAACAGAAACTCCCAAAACACTCAATAGGAAACAGATGCTTTGAATAGCCCTGTAACTATTAAGAAAATTGAATTGAATTCAATTCAAATTTCCCAAAAAGAAATCTTCAGGTCCCATGGTTTCACTGGAGAATTCTACCAAACATTTAAAGAATTAACAGCAATTGTACACAATCTCTTCCAGAAAATGGAAGAGGAGAAAATACTTCCCAACTTATTTAAGAAGCTAGTATTATCTCGATGCAAAAAACAGATGATAGTCACACACAAAAAGAAAACTACAGACCAATATCCCTCATGAATATAGAAGCAAAGCTCTTCAACAGAGCAGTAGCAAATAGAATTCAGTAATGTGTAAGAATGATACGCCATTAGCAACTGGGGTCCACTCCAGGGATGCAAGACAGTTTTAATATGTGAAAATAAATCAATTTAATTCACCATATTAACAGACTAAAGAACAATCACATAATCGTATCAATCAATGCAGAAAAAGCACATAGCCCCCATGCACTATGGTAAATAAAAAACTCTCAGAAATAGGAAAAAAAAAGGAATCTTCTTATTTTGAAAAAGAGTATCTACAAAAAACTTATAGCTGACACTAAACTTAATGGTGAAAGAGTGAATGCTTTCCTCCTCACCACTCTAATTTAACATAATGGAAATAAAAGGCATAAAATTGGAAAGGAAGAAAGAAACCTGTCCCTATTTGGAGATGACATGATAGTGTATGTAGAAAACACCGAGAAACTACAAAACAATTCCTAGAACTAGTAAGTTCAGCAAAGTTGCAGGATACAGGGTAAGCATACACAAATAAATCGTATTTTTATATATTAGCAATGAACAAATGGATGCCAATTAAAAATAGAATACCATTTACAATTGCTCAAAATGAAATACTTAAGTGTAAATATTTTGAGATATGTATAAGACTTATGTGCTCAAAATTACAAAATTCTGATGAAAGAATTCAAAGGAAACCTAAATAAATTGAGAAATACACCGTGTTCACAGATTAGAAGACTAACATAGTAGAGATTTCCCCTAAATTTATATAGAGGTTTAGTACAATTTCTATCAAAATTCCAAGAGGATATTTCAGACAGGGATAAACTTATTCTAAAATTTATATGGGAAGGCAAAGGAATTAGAATAGCCAAAACAGTTTTGATAAAGGAGAATAAAGTGGGATCACTCTATGCAATTTCAAAAATTATTATGTAACTACAATAATCAAGACTGTGTGGTCTTGCTGGAGGGATAGACACATAGGACAATGGAGCAGAATAGAGAACCCAGAAATAGCCCCAAACAAATATGCCCAACTGATTTTCAGTAAAGATGCAAGCCATTTAATGGAAGGAAGATGGCCTCTTCAAATGACACTGGAGCAACTGGACATAGGCAGAAAGTGACTTTGACTTGTGCAGTGGGTTGAATAGTAGCCCTCAAAAGATATGTCCATGTCCTTATCCCCAGAACCTGTGATGTGACCTTCACTGGAAAACAGGTCTTTGCAGATGTAATTAAGTCAAGGATTTTGAGATGAGGAGGTTATTCTTGGTTATTCGACTGGGCCATAAGTCAAGTGACAAATGTCTTGATGTGATAGACGCACAGAGAAGACACACACAGGAGAGGGTGATGTTAAGATGGAGGTAGATATTAAAGTGATGTGGCATATAAGCTAGATCTTACAGTTGACAATCAAAACATGACATGAAAACACAATTCACTGAAAAGGATGTATAGATGGCAAGTAAGCACATGAAAAGACGTTAAATCACTTGCCATTAGGGACATGCAAATTAAAATCGCAATAAGATATCACTATGAACCTATCAAAATGGAAAAAAATAATAGTGACCACACCAAATGCTGGTGAGGATGCCAAGAAACTAGAAACTTCATATACTGCTGGTGGGAATGTGAGATAGTATGGCCATTCTGGAAAACAGTTTGGCAAGTACCTTTAAAAGCTAAAGTTGCAAATACCAAATGACCTCAGCGAATGCACTCTTGGACATTCATCCCAGAGAAATGAAAACGTCTGTCCACATAAAAACCTGTTACAGGAATGTTCATAGTGGCTTTATTTATAACAGCCCCAAATCGGAACCAACCCAGAAAGCCTTTGACAGGTGAATGGGTACACTTTTCATGGTCCATCTAAGCCACAGAAAACTACCCAGCAATAAAAAGGAAAAGATTATTGACACACACAACAAAGTGAATGAATCCCCAGATAATTATGCTGACTGAAGAAAACAAACAATACTGTATGATTCTATTTGCATAATATTATTGAAATGACATAATTTTAGAAATAGAGACAGATGAGTGGGCGCCAGGGGTTAAGGAGAATGTGGGGGTGAAAGGGAAGAGGGTGTGGCTTTGAAGGGTAACTCAAAGGACCCTTGTGGGGATGGAAATCTTCTGTGTCTTGACTGGATCGATGCCATTATCCTGCTTATGACATTCTACTACAGTTTTGCAAGAGGTTGTCACTGAGAGAAACTATGTGAAGGGTATATGATACCTCTCTGCATTATTTCTTAACTTGCACGTGAATGTACAATTATCTCAAAATAAAAAAAGTTTAATTAAAAAAGAATGAGTGTGATCCAAGTGTCCTAATATGGCAGGGTTTCCAAGAAATATTAAGTGAAAAAAGCAAGTTACAGATCAGTAAACACAGTATGATACCATTTATTTTTACATACCTGCACACAACCAAATTATGTACACATAGAAAAAAATTAGAAGAGGGTACGCTATGCTGGTAACAGTGGTTACCTCTGGGGAGTAGAGCTGGGGACGCAAAAGTATTTTAACTGTAACTGGATTGACTTTTTTTTTAAATGAGAATATATTTATATGCTATGTATAGAGTAAAAACATTATCCTGGACACAGCTACAGTGTTCTAGGAATTTGAAGCTGTTTTTGCTTGTCGTGATGTGACCTATCCCTGTTTCACCAGCACTGTGGCTGGGGACCCGGCTCATGCCCCCTGCCCTCAAGCCTCAAGGAAGTAGCTCCTGAGGCTTATCTGGTTCAGAAACAGGGCCACCAGCATTACTCCTGAGGTATGGAAGTGCCATCTGGAAGTGCCAATGTCCCCATGGCTGTGAATCTACTCACTGCTTCTGACAACTTAAAAAACACAAAGCTCAGCCCATGCTAACCAATGGAACAACAGTTTCCATAAGGTTCAAGTTGAAAAAATGTCATGCAAGTTTCAATGCTGGGGGCCACAATGGCCTCTCCATCCTCTGCCCTGAAAATATGGCAGCCATTTAGTTTCTTTGGAGGAACCTGAGAACAGCAGGCATGAATAACAATCGGACATCTATACCCATTTCTGCCTGGCTGAGAGCAGACTCACTCTAGGATGGCTCCTAAGAATGCAGTCATTCATTCACCGTATATTTACTGAGCACCTACTATATGCCATGTGCTATTCTAGGCACTGATAACAGCAGTGAGTAAAATAAAGTCCCTGCCTGTATGGGGCTCCCATTGTAGTACGAGAGCAAATGACAAGCAAGATAAATTGCATGTTAGGTGGTAGTAAGTACATGGAAGGAAGATATAAGGTGTTGGTTTCGGGGGGCTAAAATTTTAGAAATGCTGGCCAGAGAAGGCCTCACCGAGAACAATCAGATCTTTTGGTGAAGATGTGAACGAAGTGAGGGAGGCAGCTAGCTACAGAGCTATCCAGCGGTTCTGGATATTTTCCATGCGCCCCTCCAGATCTTCTTTACCCTTCTCCACCCAGCTGTGTGCCCTGGTAGGCTGACCTTTGTGGACTGCATCAACAGGTTCCCTTGCCCTCTGGCTTCGGGTTAGGTTTGACCAATGGCAGGCACCTGCAAGGAGATCAGAAGGAAAAAACAAAATAAGATTTTCATCAGCTCTCTCTATGCAGGGTCATCATGAGTTGGCCACATCCCTCTACCTAAGATCACAGCTCCTGTCAAGGTGGCCCTTTCCATACAGCAACCCTACCCCAGTTCCCATAATCACTCTCTCCCAGGATCCTGACTGACACACTGGCAGAAAGAAAAGCAAGTACAAAGCTTAAAGTGCCTGGAAAGCTTAAGGAATGATCAGGAGACTTGTGTGGCTGGAATGGAGAAGGTGATGGAAGGATTCGTAGGGATAATGTCAAAGAGGTGAGGGCAACCAGAGTATTAAGGGCCTTGCAGGCTACCATAATATTAATATGAGTAACATGGAGCGATTGGAGGATGTTCAGCAAAAGACTGACATACTCAGACTATGTTTTAACAGCATCTCTTTAGGAGACTGGTGATAGGCAAGAGAGGATGATGGCTTGGACTCGGGTAGTAGCAGCGGAAGTGGTGAGAAGTGGTTGGAAGGTGGTGCAGAAGAATCCTGTTCACTAAAACAACCAGAGCAAAAGCCCAAACCAGAAACTTGTTATCCTGTTTGTTATTGTATACCACTGAAAATGTTATTCGACAAGATTTCAGAAGGCCCCATAGGCACCATGAGAACCCTAAGACCCCATGACTTGTGTGGGAAACACAACTCAAGCCCAATGGCTCAACCCAAAATGTTCCCAGACTGTACCTGACTCCAGAAAACTATTGTCATTGACTTTTCTAGCCAACCGACCCCACTCTAAAGCCACAACCCTATGCAGGTCCTGCTGGGTGCCATTTTGCCCTAATTGGGTCCAGCTACTCTACTTCCATTGGCTCCTCCAATGAGCTGGCCTAACCATGTCACATCACGATTCTGGAAAACACTGTCCGCACCTGCCCTGTCCATACCTCCTGTCTTCTGCTTACAAAAATCACTCTCAGGCTGGCAGCAAATGGATAAGAATGGGTCCAAGGGGTGGTCACAACACAGTGTAGGCAACAGCTCAAAGGTTCCATGATTTTGATAAGAATTTTTAAATTTGCCTGGGAAAGCAGGCAACCATCAACTATAGGCAGATCATTGGGAGGAAAGAGAAAATAGAAAACTTGGTCCAATAGGCAGATAACCCCCAGCCTGAAGTATCTTCTGGAAATCAAAAGCATCCTGGCATTTTTGGGCGTACATTGTTAATTCTCAGGATAAGGCCTGCTGCTTCATATTGTGATCCACCAGCAAAGGTACCCAGCTGGAAACTAAAGAACACCACATGATTCTGAAGGTTCATTCCAGAGCCAGGAAAAACTGATAGTATTTTGTTTAAGTTCAAAGAAATTAATCCAAAGAGGTCAGCCCCACAGCCCAAGTCAGCAAGACTGTAAAACAAATTTTTGCCAATCTAGGAGGGGATGACCTGATGTGGAATCCTAGGTCCCAGACTTTCAAGATGTGTGCACTTGGGTAAGATTCTTAACCACCCCCCGCCAAGACCTCAATTTTGTAATCTATAAAATATGGACAAGACACACCTCACAGTGTTGCATTAAGGATAAAGTGAGCTCGTGCGTGTAAAAGGTGTCTGCATGGCCTCTGGGATACTAGTCACCCACATGTTTGTTTTTTTTCTTATGTCCACTTTTCTTTGGTAAGAGCCAGGCCAGTGGTGTGGGGCAACCATGGGGCTCCAGTGGTCCCTGGTACCCTTAAGAAGAGCAATCTGAGGAATTCTTCACATCTTTCATGCCGGTGTTGTTTTCTGCTCTTTACTAAACAGGAGTCCTGGTTAGCTGACATTTGATCCTAGCAGGACATGGTTCCATGCATAGCTTGGCCCTGAGGGACACTAATGCCTATTGATTAGCTGGACATTCAGCTGATCTGCCTAAGCAGTGGCTTTCATTTTCTGAACCTCAAATCTGTTATTTTATTGCAGGTTATTTGAATCTCTTGTGTATGTGAGCTGTGGATGCAGACCTTTGCTGTGACTTCCTCTTTCACCCTTTCAGCCTCTCATCTCCATACTACTGCTCATGATGCCTGTTCCTTGCCTTGGCTCTCTGTCTTTCCCTTTCTCTTCTCTAGGTCTTTCACAAACCCTCTTCTGAAGACAGTGTTTATGAGAAGAGCAGTTAAAAGTGTCTCAAGTGGATTTATGGTCCACTTCTCTTTGCACTGTAGTACCAGCCCATCTCCAAGCCCACTTCCCCCCATTCCTTCACAGTGGCGGGGTGATGGGATTATCAAGCTAAATGGGACCTGGCTGCTGCCCTCGCAGAGGGACAGACAGACAGCTCCATGGAGTATGCAAAGATCTGGAGTGGGTACAGAGGGGTCAGGGAAAGTTTAATAAAAGAGGGGAGACTTGACCTGCGTCTTGAAGCCTTAATGCATTTTTCCAAATGGAGAGAGGGTTAAAGGGCATCACAGGGAGGAGGTGGCATGGTGGAGAGTAGAGCCATGTGTGTTTGGGAGTCTCTCTAGCCAGATGAGAAGGTATGGAGATGAGCAACGATGAATCTTGAAAGAAGAATCTGGAGCTTGCTCACCAAGGGAGTGCCATGTTGAAGGGAAACTGGACTGCAGGGGGTTAGAGTGCATGGCTGTAGTTGGATCTGGTGGATGGTGGGAAGGAACATGTTGAAAGCAGTGTCTTAGAAAGATAATTCTGGAAAGTAAAGACCAGAAGAACAAAAGCCAGTTAGGTTGATGCTGCAATGGTCCTCAACTGGGGTGTTGACGGCGGAAACGGAAATGAAGGAGCAGAGAAAAGAAGCCTCAAGGGCCTACTTCTGTAGCTCTGGCCTTTCTCCTGGATTCGTTCTCCACCATTCCCCAGTACCATCTCCCTCAACGATCTTAGTGGATCCTGGGCCTCAACTCTAACTCCCACCTCAATGTGGATTTACTACAAATCTGTATCTTGAGGTCAGATCTGTCATTTCCCCCTGGGGCCAGATCCTGGCTGCTTTCTGTACATTCCCAATTAATCATCATGTCCAAAACTGCTATGATGGTACCTGTGCCTCAGCCCTAGCTTAGCTCGGGAGAACTGTACACCTCAGCTATGTTACAGGCAACCAGTGCTTAAGTCACCAACCAAAGGTTCACTTTACACAATTTAGGGCAAACATAATCTCCTGGTTCTAAACCAGTGATTTATATGTAGACTTAAAGGACGTAACATGTTCACATCTTGGGGATGGCCTTCTTTCACTCACTCACTGTCAAGTTCCTCAGTGGTGGCCCTCAGCCAGGGCTGGATCTTCCTGGCCCCAAGAAATATTTGGAAATGTGTAGAGGCATTTCTGGTTGTCACAATGACTCCAAGGTACTAGTGGCACCTAGGGCCAGGAGTCAGGATGTTAAATTTCCTGCAATGCACAAGAGTGTCCCACACTGCAAATAACTGTCTCACTCAAAGTGCTAATAGCCCTCTTGTTGAAAAACAGTGTGAGTACAAACTCAGGGAGGGCAAAGACTGTATTTTGTTCTTTACTGTGCTCCCAACACCTGCTGGGCACTACCCTTGGTGCTGGGGATGGAAAGATGAAGAAGACGTGGGCACTACCTTTGCATGTCAGCCAGTCTTAGCTGGAATGGGTACAGAGGATCCTGAGATGGAGGCTAAAAGTGAAGAATGCCACACCTTCCCTAACCACTATGCGGCCTCTGACTCGCAAGGGGGACTTCCAGTTCAAGTCGTAATAGAAAATTTATTCATTCATTCAAAGGCTTGAATAGCACGGAAAAGTTTTCAAAGCACTTTCTCAGACATGATCTTGCTGGCATTGAGCTGGGAGGAGTGGAGGGTTGAGCAGGGGCTGGAAGCAGATTTGGGGCTGAGAGGTTCCTGCCCTGCTCGAGCCAGGGCTGGAGCAGACAGGCCCAATCAGACAGTCTCCTGGGATCAAGGCGGTCTAGTGTGAATGGAAATATGTGCCACATGGCCTGAATTGCAGGGGCCGGCCTCAGGCTCCCATAGCCCCAAACACTTCCAGATGGATTTATTTATAACCTCCAAACCAGAGGCAGTGCTCAGTTGCTTTTCCTCAGTCCCCTCCCCATTCCTGGAGCGAGCCTTGGCCGCCCCTTTCCACTCCGGAAGCCAGCAGGAGACGGGAATGTGGTGTTTTGCTCAGCCATAGCCCAGCTTGGGCTCCTGGTCCTTGCTTGTCCCCTAGGTGGCAACAGCAGCTCATGGTGTGGGCATACTCCTGTCCATCTAGCCCACCTGGGCTCTCTCTAAATGAGGAGTGTAAGCCAAGGACATTCACTCTGGCGAGTTTCTGTTCCAGATCTGCCTCCACCTCATAAAGCCACAGGTACATCCATGGCTTCTTATTTTTTGTCTCTAGGAGATTCTAAGCTCCTTTCACTCTACCTCCTCCCACAGGATAGGCTGCCAGAGGCTTTGGGCTCACACTTTTTCCAGATAGGAAACTGAAGCTCAGAGAGGTTGAGTAACTTGCCCAAGGCCACACAGAATAGTAAATAGATAGTAAATAGCAGAGCCAGAAGTCTGAAGCCCCAAGTTCTGTACCTGACCCCAGTGCCTCCTAAGTCTCAAGTTTCCTCAGTGGGGAGTAGTCTAATGCTTGGCAGGTGGTCTGGTTAGTAGCGTCCAGAACTGTTCTGCACAGAGCTTGTACTGGTTCTGTCATTATTAGCTGGATGACCTTTGGTGAGTTACTCTTCCTCTCTGTAACTAGATTTCTTTTTCTTTTAAGGATTAAAAAGATAATGAATTTAAAAGGCTTAGCATACTGTCTGGCCCATAGTGAGCGCACAGTGAGCGACAACCAACATGAGAGTTTATTGCTCAGCTGCATCAATCTAGAGCTCAGAGCTCCCATCTCTTGAAATACAGGCCAGGCTCTAGACAAACATCACCTCATGACTCCTTGCACACAGAGAGAAAGAAACTTTAGCTTAGAATGATTAAGTGACGTGCCTAAGGCCACACTTGGTAGGAATACAGGAG